ACGATTTCTGAGTGCTGCATGGATTTACTTCAAATCTTGCATGGATATTACTAACAGATCGGAACAACACATACGCTAGATATTATCACGCTATCACCTACGGGTGAGGAGTTGTGAATTCACGACGAAGTCCCTGGTACAACAACTAGTTTATAATTATATCAAACAATAATACTCACACATTAAACATTAAAGAATAAAATAGATTAATAGACACTCACCCCCTGTTACATGGGACTCATAACTTAAATAGTGAAAGCGGGTGTTACATTGTACAGTGGTATAATGTGCACCTCTGCCTACCCCTATGGGGATAAAAGGCGTGATGTTATGTATGTATTAATAGACTAAGGTGGGTACATAAGCATTAGACTAGCGAAAATTGAGTAAGTACATTCTTTTATCAAAAATAAATTATTTCCACTATTTAATACAATAAAATATTAAAACTATAATCACACTTTTATTAATTGCTTTTATAACCAACTTAATTTTAGTACATTCCCAGTTTATTTTTAAGAAAAAAGTATGCTGTTTGACGCTAAAAAAACATTACGTCACAATTAGGGTTGCCACCCGTACTTTATAATAAAGTATTGTACGTTATTTAAGGTAATTGTACTCTATACTATATAAGAATAATAAAGTACACGAAAATACTTTATTTTTGCAAAATTCGATATCTTCAATTGTTAAGTAAAGATACTAATTTAATACAAACTGCAAAAAGCAATAAAAAGTATATTTTTATATATATAATACTAAATTAAAATAAATTGTACTTTATTTTTGTACTGTGTACTTTTTTTCTTACCTATAATCGTCAATGTACTAAACTGTCAAACACCAAGCGGTCACCGGTGACCGCAACCTATTGTTCTTTAATTGTGTCTATAAATACGGTACTCGACGAGTTAAATACCAAAATAAAAGGTGGCAACCCTAGTCACAATACACAATCTCGTACAAAATTCATAGAAAACTGTCGTTTTTCACAGTTCGAAAAAAGTATTGAATTCGACTAGTTGGCATGTACCCAATTATCTACATAGTATCCCAACTCAGTACCGACTTCACTTGGCCACAAGGCTAACATGTGCCTAGGATCTGACACGCTCAGAATAATATTAAGGCCAATTAATCATACCCTTGTGTCACTATGGGCCTGACGTTGTGACATGGCCTAAGATTAAACCAAGGCTCTACCCTTGAAGACCTATCTTGTCTGATGTTAGACTCGGCCCAAATTGACGTTGTTCATTTGTAGGCAGATTTTGTCAATTTTGACTAAGTTTACCTAAATGAGAAATGTTTAGATTTGTGTTTGTTAAGTTGTGGTCATCAGTTCGATCTATGCAAACTTTTGGACTGCCTCATTGGCAGAGTGGGCGCAACTGCGACTGCTGGTCAAGAGGTCTCGGATTCGATTCCTTGGTCGGGCAAAGTATTACTGGGTTTTTAAGAATCTCAGTAGTAGCACAGAGTATGGAAATATGCCCGGTATATGGCATAGGCTCACGCCCTATTACATGGGACTTATAAAATAAATAGTGAAAAGTGGGTGTTACATTGTACAGTGGCATTTAGTGCCGTAATATGCACCTCTGCCTACCCCTTCGGGGATAAAAGGCGTGATGTTATGTTATGTGCAAAGCCTTTACAAAAAGATTTTTAATAAACACTTATAATTCTAGTTTAACCCTTAGAACGCCACGTCAGTCACCGGTGCCTGACGCTAGTGGAGGTTTGACTTTCACCATTTTAAACTTGGCACTTAAAGTATTAAATGAGAACAATTTAGTTTTTAAAAAACACATTTTTATAATAATAATAAAATTATATAATAAGTCACTCGATAATTCCAACCATGTTCATTCGAAATTAATAAATCAAATCAACCTTTCAACACCGCTAAAACCATTCCAGCATTAAATCTAGAACAGAATAGATTTATCACAATGGAATAAAAACTTTAACTCGTTCGATTATAGTATAAAATCCATCGAATTATTATTCAAGACCTTTTTCAGTGTCTTATTATTACAACCCTGTCCATATAGGGTAAGTTCGCCTGTTCGCGTCCACACAACAATTTGCGTTTGTTTTATCGCCATGTTTGTAAGATATTAAAAAAGTATGTAGATCCAAATAGTTGTGTATACTAAAACTACTTATATCATGATAGTTTTATTATTGACTCTCTTGTTGGCCAAGTGGTCGCAGGTGCGACTGCTGGTTCGATATTGGGTTTTAAAAAAAATTCTCAGTAGTAACACGGACTCTGGAATTATGCCCGGTATATGGCAATAGACTCATAACATAAATAGTGACAAGTGGATGTTACATTGTACAGTGGCATTAACTGCCGGTATATAAGACACAATAGAAAACACATTGTGTCTCGCGTGCATCTGTGTTCCGGCACACAACGGTTTAAATGCCGTAATGTGCACCTCTGCTTACCCCTTCAGGGATAAAATCGATATGTTTATGTTTTATTACTTTCGGAAATTTTGAAATGGCGTTACGTAACATGGACGCGAAGTGGCGAACTTACCCTACGCTTCAACGGTTGACCGCTCAAATAACAGTTCGGTATGAATGGTTTTCTAAAAGCCCTTCTGCACGTAGCCGGGGTACCGGCCAATAACTGTAGAGTGTGGACCATTGCACTCTGAGTTATGGTCCAAGATACAAGTGGAGAACTTTGTTTTATATCTTCACATAAATTTTATCGTATTCATACGAATACGGTAAAATTAAACACTATCGTACGAATTTTTCTATGGTAATCACCAATACATATTTATTTATTTATTGCAAAATGTACATACATAGCGGTAATATACTGTATCCTAGCACAGTACATTGTACATCACATAGATAGTGTGATTAATAGTGAGCCATGAAGTGCCTTTGCAATGAAACTGTTAACAAAGGATTGATTCCGAAATATGTAGGTACCGTAATATTTTTTGATGAAGAACCAATGCTATTTACATATCCTAAAGGTTAGTAAATTCCCTAGAACCTTTTGTTTTAAGTTTGCACATCACATATGGAAATCATTATCAATCATTATGCCACTTTCAGTCTGTAACATCTCATAAACTGTTACATGCAAAAACCTATAGACATGTAAATGTAGCATCAAATCGCTACAATCTATAACTTGTACCAAATCATAGAGGATTTCGACATCACGATGCTACAGAAAACTCGCATTATCGGAATGACGTGATCTTTATACGTTTTTAAATTGTTCAGCTATAGAGAACATTTTATTCAACATCTTTCAGTTTTTTGAAATAGGTATTAGGTGACCTAGTTAGGTGATTTATTCACGTTTTGATTTTCATAAAATACTGGCAGGCCGCATCAGATAACTTTTTTTAATTGGGGCAAATCATCGAATGACTTCTCTCGCCTGGATGAGGCGGGAGGATGTGTTAGACACTTACTAAAAACCACCCCGTTCCTACTCCTGCACTTGAAACCGGAGCCCGGTAACCTTCTACGTTCTCAGGCTTAAAGTGCAGGAGTAAAAACGGGGTGGTTTTTAGTAAGTAAGCGTCCATTACAAAAAATCCCTTAAAAAAATTCGGCAAGACGCATGTAAGTAATGCCCCAAGTGTTGCAGGCGTACATAGGCCACGGTAGCCGCTTACCATCAGGTGGGCCGTGTGCTCTTTTGCCACCGCCGTGGTATAAAAAAAAACAAACTCCGTAACCAGAACAACATGAAGTTTAAATTATTATCTATACTGTCACTGTCAGTAGTGGCAGTCGCCGCGTCGCGGGTCGCGAAATGCTGCTCATGAATATGAGCCTCTAGCATGGCTTGAAACTAGTCGAGTTCCTCGTCAAATTACTACGTGAGTAAGCCGAAAACATAATAATTTATTTAGTATGTCTCACGAAAGTTACAATACAAACATGAAGTTTCTTCTCATAGTCGTGAGAACTACAACACTACCAATTATAGTAGAAAAATAATGATCAACAGCCATAGATAAACCATATGGCTTGGACATATAGTACAAGAACTTCACCGTCTTAAAAAGGAGGTCTTCACCAAATCTGCTTTGAACAGAACTGGTTACTATACTTATATGGTGTCGTAGTACTAAACTAAAATGGTAACTTACTACTCGTAGTTAGGTGACTCATAGTAGCTTTGATGTTGTGTTTTGATATCTTAAGTTTACATTAAGGTTTTTAAATCTTAAAGATTTTGGTAGAAGGGGTAGGCAAGGGGGCACATTATGGCACATATGTCGGAATACTGAAACGCTACTCAATTTTAAGTCGCGCTTAAGTATAGTTCTGTCTCTGCAAATTCTTTGTAAAATGACAGAGATGGCACGATATTTAAGCACGACTTAAAATTGAGTAACGTTTCAGTATTCCGGCATTAACGCCACAGTAGAATGTTAAATTTCAAGACATAGTTAATTTCATGGTTGCAAAGGCGTGTCTATCAGCGATATAAGTCGTATAACATTTTTCTTATTTAGAAGTGGTTCATAGTCCAACAGTGAGCTGGACAGTCACAAGGATCGTCTACAAGATTTTTGAAAATATCTGTTACCAAGTTCAAGTTAAGTTTTTCCTAATAAATATAATATTTTTATAATAACTAGGTATCGTGAGAGTGAGATATATTAAATGAACTATAAATTACGGGTTACTCATGTGAATATGAGTCGCGGAGAACCTAACGGGTTACTGGGGCTCGGGCTCGACGTGCAGGAGAAGGAACGGGGTGGTTTTTAGTCAGTAAGAGTCTGACACACCCAGGCGGGACAAGTAATTCGATGATATGGCCCGTTAAAAAAAAATCTCCCATGAATATACTGTAAAAAGCTCTATTAGTTTCGAACAACAGAGAGGCTTTTCATTTTTCCTCATGAGCAGCGTGCGCGGTCGCGGTTATGTCGGGCAGCCTACTTACTACCTACTATAAAATATGATATTAATTGTATTTCTCTTTGTTCCAGGCCTACACTCCGACAGGCTTCGAAAAATATGGCTGTACTTGCGCAGTCGCAGATTATAGAGTTAATTTCTCCGTATGGGACACCTCTGGTAAGTCAAACTATCATCTTTTACGTTTAATTCCTAAATCACACGCCATTTTGTAATTTTACTTCAGTTGTTCACAATTCTAAGTTACTTTCACCCACATTTTTCTGTAACAAAAGATTGAATTATGGCACATGTACTATATACATATTATATAGAGACTTTCTGATGTCTTTTATAACAATTTAAGTATATTGAAATCTTTTTAATGCTTCAGTTGACCAGATTCGTGCCTAAAGTTTGCACATTTACATCTATTCGACAAACGAAACCATTTTTTCAATATTTTTTTTCTCTATCTCGCCAGTGTCTTTAGCCAAACGCCATTTTAGCGCTTGTCTACCGAGAGAGTAGAAAACTAAATGTATGGGGATGACACTGACAAATGTCAAAATTCACGTCAACTCCATGTAATTTCGTTTTCTATTCTACATGTAGACAAGCACAAAATGGCATTTGGCTACAGCTGCTGGTGGTAAGCGATACTGCGGTCTACGATGGAGCACGTCATCCCATAAGCAACCTATTCACTCGGGCCTCGAAGACACTCAGGTTATTCCCGCCTGGTGGGAAGCGATGATGCGGTCTACGATGGAGCACGTCATCTCATAAGCAACCTATTCAGTCGGGCCTTAAATCTTCAAGTCCTGATGTCTTTTAACCTTGGCTTTAGTCAAAGCAAAGGCTCACACTTTGGTCTAGGTAATCTACCTTTTTTCAAGCAATACACCGTGACATAACACTTAATATCATCCAGTCATATTTGCATGTCTGTACCATCGTTTAGACAAAACCAGTAAAGCGTGAAATGGTTAATAGCAGAACAAATCGCTACATGTGGCTTATCTTCGAGCACGCACTCGCTGCCGTGACAAATGGCCGACACGTTAACACGCCAACTGAATATCATTTCACACTTTGTTATTGCAAGGACAAACATTATGTACTGCACTTTTATAATTCAGATAGTCAGCAGATCCACTTGTTGGTCCAGTGGCCGTACTTGCGACGAGGGGGAAAATCATCCAATCGGTTCTCGGATGAAGCGAGAAAGGGTGTCAGACTGTTACTTTTTTTTTATGGGACAAGCCCACCACAACCTCCCAAAACCGCTGCAACTCCTGTAAGCCAGGATCTACAGTAAATACAACCATGAAAACACCGGAACATTAAAGTCCGGCGCGTCCCAGTGACATGAGTAACTGTCTTGGTCCCGCAATGAAGTGAATCAGAAGATATTAGAAGAGGAGAAGAAGAAAAAACTATAGTTTCCACTTCCCTCGGTGAATCGGCAGGAGACAGAATGAATTAAGCCTAAAGGCACAAAGAAGAGACTGTACAACTGGGTGAAGCCCAGTCGCCAAGCACTACGGAAATTTGACTAAAAACTAAGTGGGTCAGACTGTTACTGACGAAAAATCACACTGTTCCTGCTCCAGCTTTGACCTGGAGCCCCCCGGCCTCGACTTCAATGTAATCGAATGGATCTTTAACTACCGATAATAACTAATTTAGTACATCCAGCAAAGAAGTGCATGAAGTTCATATCATGAACCTATCATAATAGATTTCAACTGTTAATCCTACAGCTTTGCCTTTCCACGTAGGTATTATATATAGTATTTACCTATTACGAGATAACCACATGTATCCATGTGGAGAATGAAGCGACTGCCTCGTTGACCGAATGGTTGCAAGTGCGACTGCCGGGCAAGGGTCTCGGGTTAGTATTCCCGGGTCGGGTTTCGCAGTAGTAGCACGGAGTCTGGAAATGTGCCCGGTATATGGCAATAGGCTCACGCCCTATTACATGGGACTCATAACATAAAATGGTGAAAAGTAACATAAAGTGGTGTTACATTGTACAGTGGTCTGTGCCACATGCCTACATCCCTGAAGTCCTCTGCCTACCTCTTCAGGGATAATAGGCGTGATGTTATATGTTATAGATAACGCACATGAGATTATAATCTCACTTAATCAAATATAATAAAATAATGAAATAATCAGACTTGATGACGGCAACAGCTTACATAAATTTTTTCCTCGAATTACATTGTCAGGAAATTTTATATGGTGATAATTTTACGTGGTTTTAAAGTATTGTCACTGGCTCAGTTAAAGCAAATATCTGAACGAGGCAGATCACAATCATTAAACATTACGGTCATATACACTTCTGGCCATAAATATTGGAACATGACATGATTACAGACTTGTAGTGCAGCTATATTATTACGTCACATACATTTTATTTTGTCCTACACTCGTATTTTCTCCTGTGTTGTGGGTGCGTTTACAAACATACAAGTTCACATACACATCACACCCAGACCTGGAACAACAATCTGTGGATCACACAAAGACTTGCTGCGTGCGGAAATTGAACCCCCGACACGTTGGTTGCCCAGCCACCGCACCAACCGTGCAGTCGAGTCATTTATTGTCAAATGCTAACTTTTTATCAGTAACTTTTTTTTTTAAGGGGGGAAAATCATCGAATGACTGCTCCCGCCTGGGTGAGGCGGAAGGGAGTGTCAGACTCTTACTGACTAAAAACCACCCCGTTCCTTCTCCTGCTCGTCGAGCCGGAGCCCCGGTTACCCGTTAGGTTCTCCGCGACTTTTATCAGTAACTAGCTTCTGCCCGCGACTTCGTACGCGCAATCCCGATATTTCCCGTTCCCGTTCTTGATTTTCGGTAAAAAGTAAAAAAAAGAACTGGGTAAAAAGTATCCTATGTCCGTCTCCTGGTTCTTAGCTACCTCCCCACCAATTTTCATCCAAATCGATTTAGCCATTCTTGAGTTATAAATAGTGTAACTAAGACGACTTTCTTTTATATATATAGATTATTCATAATTTGCTAATCAATAACAGTAGCTACGAATTATAGGTTTTCTAATAAGATGATTCACCCAAAATACTTTTCAATAATCAAACAATAACGTGCAGTAAAAACTAGCATTAATTTAAAAGTTATAAAAGCACAAAATCCCTTGACACAATCCCCAACAATAAACAGTTTCACCAATTCCCAGCTGTCAATGTTACAAAATATATAGTACTTTTAAATAGAACAACTGATAAGTTAATAATATTGTAAAGCTGGCCCCTTTAATTGTCGTCAAGTGTACAATCGAGGTTTCAGTTGAAATCATGGATCAGTGATTTGGACCGACCAATACATGAAAATACGTACATTTCATGGACATAAAATATACATACGTACGTATGTATTTGTGAGAATTTATTTACATTGTAATGTTTGACATGAAATGTTAAATGGACATTATGCAGGGACGGATTGGGGAAGTTTAAATTTTTGGGCCAATTTATACAGGGTACACTTGTAAAACCTCTGGTGTTTCAGGTATGCATGGACGACGCCAATTGCTTACCATCAGGTGATCCGTCTGCTCGTTTACCGGCTTATTCTATAATCCGGTAATATATAAAAATAGATTTCTAGCTTCTACAATGAAATTATGGCCACCAAAGGCGTTCATCTATATATATAAAAGAAAGTCGTGTTAGTTACACCACTTAACTCAAGAACGGTAGAATAGATTTGGCTGAAAATTGGTAGGGAGGTAGCTTAGAGCCAGGAGACAGACATAGGATACTTTTTAACCATTTTTTTTACTTATTAATCACGAACGGGGACGGGAAAAAATGGGATTACGCGTACGAAGTCGCGGGCAGAAGCTAGTTTAATACGTATATATTTTTTTTATACTTGATAGGTCAACGCCTGGCCACCATCTTGCCTCTCTCTCTATCAGGACAATGGTCGGTGTACCTATGAGCAACCTGTTCATTCGAGACTTGAAGACACCCAAGTCATATTTTTTTAATATCAAATGATCAAAAGAACGTAAGATATCCTGGAAAATCCGTACAGTCTACCTTAAAACCAACTGTCCATGATTATCCGATCCGGCTTTCGCAACACAGTTCTCACACCTACACCACAAGACCTGATCTCGTGATCACGTCCACCTACTGACAAAGTGGGGTTAATGTAAATTACCATGGGTTTAATTAATGATTGCCATCGTTTTCGAAGGGACTGCACAAGGTGTATGGTTTTATTTAGCATTGCCCTATTGCCCTATAGCAATGCTGGATAATGGCCTGGTACTATTACCAGGCCGGTAAAAAAATAGGGATGATTACAGGGTATGAAAATTAAAAATGTAATTAGTCCGTCAGTTAAGTAATGAAAAAATATTAAACACATATTTTTTTGGTTTGTTCAATAATAAAATGATACTTAGATATAACGAATCAAAGTTTAGCAGTTGAGGCTAAAACGTCATTTCTATGTATAAAATGTACATAGAAGTGACGTCACGCGACATTTCAATTTTTATATCTATATATAGATATAGATAGATTGACAGCTTAGCATTTTAATCAAACTATACGATACTACAATCTTGACCAAGGTAATCTTGATAGATGAATGAATAATTGATTATTTAAAGATCAAATATTTGCTACTCATACATTAATCATGAGTAGGTTTCAAATTTGTATTACGCAAAAAAATCATTACGATAGGTAGTATACGGGTTCACATTAAGCTAAGCGTAACCAGTATAAACTGACCGTCGAATTTGCCGAAACATCATTTAAAACGAGACCATGATAAGCTGGTTTCGTGTAACTTGATATCTTCTAAAGTATAGTGTTGACAAAAAACGACCTTATGGTCATAGTAATAAGAATTTGTCACAAAAAATGTATGAATTCTTATCATGACTATTTATATTCTAGGCATGTAAGAAATAAATATAGATAAAAAAGTGGTCTAAAGAAAAAAATATAAATAATTCAAATAAAAAATTCGTAGCACCGGAGTAGGAATTTCGAAGTCATTGCTATAGCCGAAATAGCTCAGTTGGGAGAGCGTTAGACTGAAGATCTAAAGGTCCCCGGTTCAATCCCGGGTTTCGGCAATCTCTTTTTGTTAGTTTTAATTGCTTTTTAACCAGTCCTATATATATTTTACGCAGTATAAATCTATTTTTCCGCATAATTATCTAATAGTTACAATTTACGACCGTGTTTTCGTTATATTGACCGTGTATTCATTAAGTTTTTTTTAAATAATTTGTAACTATGCTACATATGAAATTTTAACAATTAGGTTTAGTTAATATTTTGTTCCATAAAATTATGCTAACGTCTGAATAATATTCCTTTAGAAAAATATATTAAATCTATTTATTTTGTTCCAGGTACGGCAGCATACGACACAGTAAGACCGCTCGCCTACCAAGACGCCAGAGTGTTCATGCTCTGCTTCAACATAGCCGAACCTGAGACCTTGCACAACGCTGCCGCAAAGGTAACCACTGGTCCGAGTGTAAAAGTTGAAGCATTTATTTTTAATAACTTTAAACCGCTTGTAAAATTAATATACAATCAACAGTTTGTCACTAAACGAACCTAAGTTCTTGTACCGAGATGTCTACTTATGTATGAAAATTGTTATAATTATAAAATCAACATGTTCAACAGTTAAAAACCATTAACCAATGTTCTGAAGTGTTATTTTCGGTTCCATAATAACATACATCAATTGAATTATGAATAAATTGGCCTTATGGAATCCTTACTTCCTTACTAATATTATAAATCGGAAAGTGAGTTTGTTTGTTTGATTGTTTGTTCCGCTTTCACGCCGTAACTACTAAACCGATTGCTTTGAATTTTTACAGACGTAAAGTTAGAAGTCTAGATTAAATAATAGGGTACTTTTTATCCCGAAAAAATGTGATATTCCCGAGGGAAAACAAAAGTATTGGTATAGATGGCGCTGTGTGTATTGGTATATGTCACATAGGCTACTTTTTATCCTTTTGTGACGCGAGCGAAACTGCGGGTAAAAGCTAGTGGTAAATAATAAAACTCCATCAAAGAACTAAAAAAACAAGTATTTGCCTAACATATGTAGTATAATTAACCTATGGTTTTTCATTCTCAGTGGTACAGAGAAGTAAGAACTCACGGGGGCTCAGCTCCCGTGCTGCTTTGTGGCTGCAAGGCAGACCTGAGACACGAGAAGGAGACGCTCACCATGCTGTCCAAGCTTAGAACACATCCAGTCACCAGCGAAGAGGTAAGGGTTGCATGATGAAGAGCATTCATTTTTATAAAGCCACACTAGTGTCACGCTGAATGCCTATATCATGGGTGCATTTTGAAATATACAAAGTTATATATATATCATACCCAGACCCAGAAAGAAGAACAAATTCACATAAAGAAATTGTAAACATACAATAATTGAAACCGACATACGACATGTTGAGAAGAAGCCCTTTTTCCCACCAACTGTGCCAAACGTACAATCAAAAAGTTAGATTATGAATTTACTTTGAAACGACCGCTTAAGAAAAATACACAAACATAATATAACATCATAACATCACGCCTTTTATCCCCGAAGGGGTAGACAGAGGTGCACATTATGCCGCTGTACAATGTAACACCCACTTATAACATAAAATAAGTCCCATGTATGCAATAGGGGGTGAGCCTATTGCCATACCGGATACCGGACACAATTCCAGACTCCGTGCTACTACTGAAATTTTTTTTTAAACCCAATTATTCTTTGCCCGACTCGGGATTCGAAAAATACACAAAAAAAGTATAGTAATCCTTCATTAAACATACTTTAGCTTTAAAAGAAAAGAAGAAAAAAGTCAAATAAATTCATTACAATAAATCCTTTAGATTAGATTGTAAGTTCTATTATTACCTTAAATAGAATCACCCACACGTAAAAACAAATCTCCCAGGACGATAAAAAATAAACTCATTCTAATTCCACGGTGAACCCAAATCCTACCTACGCAGACTTTCCGAACACATGCTCCCTACAATCCACAATTTAGGGCGCCTCCTAATGATACGAAATTCATTTTAGACTCCTCAATTTCACGGGATCCGCAAACGTCTGGGATTGGAAAGGTCTTACAGATACCGGAGCGATTTAACTTCATTCATCAGAATTCTAATCTAAATTGAAACATCCTAGATATTCACACGAATTGTATAACAAGCAATTGAAAAGTTGGCCGCAATTTCAGGCTGGATGTCCCTATTAATTAGAGATCTTATTCAACTAGTTACCATTTAGTAAATGGGGGCAAAGTAATTGGCTCATTCTATGAATGAATTGAACGGACTGACGGGTCGTTGTGACGGGGACGCGATTAAGTACTCTTGTTTATGAGTACCTTCAGGGCTTCAGTATCTGTTTGGAAACTTGTTAGTTTGTAAAATTATTTTTGTATTTAATTAAAAAGAAAAGTAAATTGCAACCAATATAGTTCACATCTTGCATAGTATGGGAAGACAAATACAAAATATTGCATCCTCCTAAAAAATTTAAAAAAAAAATGTATTTTTACATTCCACAGGCTTTATCAGTAGCAAGACAGCTGGGAGCGATGACCTACGTAGAGACTTCAGCCAGAGCTTCCACTAAAGGTGTCAAAGATGCCTTCGAAGTAGCTGCCTTAGCGGCCCTTGGCAAACTAAACAAGCAGCAGATGAAACAACAGGTATACAATCGTTTCTACTACTATACACAACATAATATTACTTTAATCTTATCTTCCCCCTCTTTTTCCCTCACGCGCTGGACAGCATTCCAAGCGGATTCTAAAGTAGGTACGTAGACAAGGCTTATCGCTTCATCCAAGTCACGTGGAAGTCCTTTAACATCTACCAAACTTAACTTCCATCGACATAGACACGTAGATGACGATATTAAAATAACCTTTTTCCCAACAGAAGCAAGTTGGTCGCAGCAAAAGCAAGCGCGACTTGAAAGCCGAGCTCAAAGGACGCGCGAAGAGTTGCTGCGTCATGTGATCCGTGGCCGGCCACCCGTCCCGGTGGCCGCACGACTGCTAGGCGACCACCGCCCTTCTTCTTGAACCCAACTGTTCCACACAGGAACCTTACCGGGCCTATGTAAGCGCCTTGCGGAACACCCGACGTAAATGTTAATTGACGAGTTCCCCCGTATATGGGTGGTAACAATATACGACACATATATTTAGTGTCACTATTTATTATGTTTATGTGGAATGACTATGTGCAAAGTGATCAAATAATTTTAATCATAAGTGTGATTCGTTTACGAAAGCCTAATAGAGAACTATTACTATTAATGTACTGTTAATTTAAAGAGAGCGGAACGAAGTTCTTTGGATTTTTAGGTGAAGATATCAGTAAAATAAGAAGGTGCAATGTAAATTTAGCCCTGAGAGGTGGAGCGTGAGCCTGTGATAAAGTTTAAAATAGAAAATTCGCGAGAAAAATATAGAAAAGTTTTAGATTGAATAAAAAAGGCGACAACGCTCAATTTGGCATTTTCTTCATTAACAGTTGTAACATTAATGTATAGCATCATGTTAGTTAGGAACAAATATTACGTGTTTTCATATACATTGACATATTGACGTAAATATATTATAATAACTCGATGTTTTTCTATAACATAGCATTTTCATATGTATAGATTGTAATGGAAGGTAATGAAGCTCCGTTGTTTTCTGTAGGACCAATGTTGCTCTTATTTTTGATGCAGTAAGTAGCTTGATTGTTTTGAAGCTACGAGCGAAACATTTCATTTGTGATATATATTATACGTAAATATAAAAATAAAATAATATGCACAATGGTGGACAATACTAAATTACGGAGGTCCATATGCTAGTTAGTTTCACGTCCAAATTTTGCTATAGTCGTTAGATTTTTGTACGTTTACAATGTAATGAAAATATTAAATGTTGCTTGCCTGTAGTTCGTGAACCATTTCGTAAATTAGGATCATTATTCATACTGTCATTGTGGATATTAAATATCGTTTGTTTGCCTTTAAATAAAACATTAATAAAGTGAACATAATATTTTATAAAGTGACAAAGTCCGAATTTTATTTTTCAAAATTTAAAAATAAGTGAGTATTTGAAGAGAACGCTCTTGATTTTGCCAATGAATGTTTTTTGGTTTCTTTCTTCGGGAAAATGGACTCAAAATTGTGTTCTATGAATAAGAATGGTTGGCTTTTTGTGTTGAAAATGTCAAATAATAATAAAGGTCGGTATTGAGTTGAGTAATTAGGTTTACAAGTCACGTCGCCGAGCCCCAGTGGAGCCACGATTGCTTTTCGCTCCCTAATGTCAAGTAAAACTAAAAATGAAATTCATAAAATTATTCATAACACGACTTGTATTTGTAATTGGTGAATAATTTTAAAGGATTTATAGTATTTTGCAATTACGAATAAGGAAGCCATATTTAAAAAAAAATATTTGGAGCGAGTGTGATTTTTTGGCAAAATCAGGCGTTCTCGAGTATAAGTACATTTTATAGTTAGGTATCTAAATAATTCTTCATATATTGAACAAATTAAAAATTAAATGTTATTTTGTTAACATTATTTTCGATTATTTAAAGTATTGTAAGTCGATATCAAGCTTTAAATTCAATGTTAGCTTTAATTATCATTATATTTAAATATTTAAATTAAATGTGTAGTTATTAGTATAATTTTCATTAAAATCGATAATCGGACATTTTAGTTTTATCTTTTTTTTGTTTATGAACAAAATGTGTACATATCACGTAAGTTTTCTATCAATAAGAACTCTGACGTCATTTAAAAAAAGAAAATATAGTTCGAATTATGAATTCAATTTTTTAACGAAACATTATTTTATAACAAGGCTTTTGAGACATTTTATTTTAGTGCAGATTATTTTAAAAAAAAACGTGTTTTGAATGATTGCAGACTTATTTACGACTACTTTATTTATTTATCAAAGAATATAAATTATGTCTTATTGAATTTAATATTAGGCACCTATATTATTTGTATTGAAAATATGATTATTTTGGATTGTATGCATCGCAGTTGCGAACTATGTCGACCGACATTCAATTATTTTGATTTATTCTCTAAAAGAAACAAGATTACAACTTCATTTACGCACGTAATTGGATTGTGAGAATTTGATTCATTTTGTAAAATCTACTTTTTGCTAAAGGTCTCCTTTATTCAGATTTTTGGACTGGAATACTGAAATATTCGCAATATTTTATCTGAGTGAACTGAATATAAATAACTGTTTCAATATTTTGATTCGTTCAAAGGCTAGCTATGACACATGTACAGTGTACTGTCAAAACTTACACATGTGACAGGACTTTGTTTTGTCAACTTTGTTTTTTTTCTGATCGTTTCACAAAGATATTACAAAAATAGAAAATAGCTAGAAGGTAATGTCTATAATGTACCTAAATATTAAACCACAAAGGATAATAATTAACACGGTCAATATATACTGTTATTATGCATACAGGCTATATATAAAAATAAAAAATATAAGTGTTTGACGTTTGACATTTACCTATTACCGTTCGAAATTCAATTTGTATTCTTTGAACTTCAGACTCAATGACGTCATAGTTTCTCAAAATGCCTTACCCCGTGTATAAAAAACATTATAATTTTAACTATGTATTATTATAACCAATGGTTTTATTACTAGACAAGTTAACTTGACGTTAGGCCTCTTCAATGTTGTTTGTAGATATCAAATATAGCGTTCAGTGTTTTTGATATTTGCGTTTTATTTTACCTTCCTACCCTGACCAGCACTTAAGCCATAATACCATACATATGTCTTTCAACTAACTGCCAATTTCTGTAACATATCGTTATTCAAAATATGTGGATTAAGATCGATTTTTGACAGAAACTCCGTACAACTACTGTCAATAATCGATCTATATCGACAGATTTTGGATTAAGATAATTTATTGAAATTGGCACTAAGTCCGCATTTTAGATAAAATACCGAGTTATTTTTTTCTATTCCTGCTTTTCAAGGGTGGCCTGTGGAATATTTATTGATATTCTTGTATTCACACTGAAACTGTGCCTGTCTTAGCGTCAAAGTAAAAATTAATTTCGATAGATATCAAAAGTAATTAGATACATGTAGGTAACGGTCTTAAACTGTCGATATTATAATTGGCTATCTAATATATACAATTCGAAGCAAAGACTCCCAATTGGGAGTTTTAGGTAACCACAGTGTCTTAAAAGCCTATGCCCAAGCCAGAATTAATAGTCCTAGTATATATAATTATGAGTCGCGGAGAACCTAACAGGTAACCGGGGCTCCGGCTCGACGTGCAGGAGAAGGAACGGCTTGGTTTTTAGTCAGTAAGAGTCTGACACTCCCTCCCGCCTCACCCAGGCGGGAGCAGTCATTCGATGATTTTCCCCCCTTAAAAAAAAGTATATATAATTATAGTTATAAAAAAAAATAGGTAAACCAATTTGCAGGAGAAATGCATCTCAATCCTAATACCGTTTCGCTGGCAATATTTCTTCCGATATGTTAGTCGTAACGGCGTTTGGGATAGGCCTATGTTCGGCATCCGACGTTTACAGATATTTATTGGCTGTTACCATGAATAACTGCTGGAAACGAGTACATTCGACATTTCGTAAGTCTTGGTACTGTCAACTCTTTACAATTTATCTTTATTTTTAATTTTCGATGCGACAAGATAATCTTAAGGGTTAACCTGTCGGCGGAGAACCTAACGGGTTACCGGGGCTCCGGCTCGACGTGCAGGAGAAGGAACGGGGTGGTTTTAAGTCAGTAAGAGTCTGACACTTGTCGTAAGTGCGACTGCCGGGCAAGGAGTCTCGGGTTCGATTCCTGGGTCGGGCAAAGTATTACTGGGTTTTTAAATATTCTCAGTAGTAGCACGGAGTCTGGAATTGTGCCCGGTATATGGCAATAGGATCACCCCCTATTACCCATGTAATAGGGGGTGATCCTATTGCCCACCCACTTTTCACTATTTATGTTATGAGTCCCATGACTCATAACATAAATAGTGAAAAGTGGGTGTTACATTGTACAGTGGTATAATGTGCACCTCTGCCTACCCCTTCGGGGATAAAAGGCGTGATGTTATGTTATATTATGTTAACCTGTCGTGTGTCTAAACATGGATCCACGCGAAACATAATGTATTTGCTATTGTGTCTCATACCGGTGCATTTAAGCAGTTAATGTCAAACTTTTAGGACTTGTTAACACAAATTTCACATCGATCCTTGGCCTAAGTAAAGTCTAGTTGTAACTGTGTTCGAATAGCTAAGATGCTAGCTATAGATTTCAAAATAAATTATTAGGTATGTTTTCGGCTTACTCACGTAAATTTTCGACGAGGAACTCGACTAGTTGCAATCCATGCTAGTAGCTCATATTCTGTCTGACTGTCGCGCTGCTACTAGCTACGAGTATTAAACTCGAGAGTTTGCTGCGGTGCAGGCCCAACGTGCCCTCTGTCGTGATTCACACGCACTTTCTTCTCTGTGGCGTCAGCGCGAATCCCGGGTCAACATGTAAGGACATAAGAACATCTTTGTAACTCAAGGTTGATTGAGAAACAATAAGGTACGTTGCGCTTAATCAGCGAATAGTTTTAAGTACTTTAGTGTTGTATGGTTATTGAATATAAGGAAATTTGGCAATAATAAATCAGACTTATTGGCAGCAACACGTCTTTGAATTTACCACCCCTATGGAGATATTGCATGGCGACCCTGCCACTGAACTCAGAAAATTATATTAGAAGAATGAAAATGAAGCCAAACTAAGAAGTTACTTTTCAAGATTGAAGTAAAAAAAAAAAAAAAAAAAAAAAAACCAAAGAAGATCTCGAAGACAGAAAATATACCAAGATCATAATATGGGAAAAACTTATTCAAAGGAGGAGGTTGTCGTCGCGCAAAACGCCAACGGTGAAGCGAATGCATCTGCTCATCAGTCAAGGGA